TATTTACAATTCCTGTGGGTTTTGTCCATCTATAGACCACGAAAGACTAACACTGAAACGCAAAAGTTAGCCTGACAATAATCAGCAACAGATGCTACAACTATTAGGTGGAAGACTATTGGAGAGGAGGCTAATGTCACTGCTAATTGATCATGCCACAGATTACCTGCTAACTGCAGTGTAAAAATAGATCTTAGCCAAGTGATCAAACATAGCATCACAAATAATGGGACTGAACAGTTTACGTCTCCTAATGGTAGTCAATATGAAGGACACAGCATCATGTAATGATACTCCTCCCTTTACCTCCTGAGTGTTGGGATTACTGGTGTTCACCACCTCACTCAGCAATTCATTAGATATTCTTGGTTTAAATATTTTACTGGAAACTAACAAACCCTCTAAATCTAGTTTACAGTAAGGCTAGTATAAGGGAATACAGGAACAAGTAAAATGACACTGTGAAAGAAAAAACTGGCAAATCCAGAATGTGAATCATTTCAAAAGACAGTATTTTAATCTTTTTTTTTAAAAGTCATTTTAAAAGGGCAATGAGCCAGGCATGGTGGTGCATGCCTGTAGTGAGTTCAAACGCTGCCTGAACTATATAATGAGACCCTGTTTCAAAAAAAAAAAAAAACAAGGAGAGGTGAGGCTGGTTTAGAAGAGGTCAAAAAAAACTTTACAACCGAATGCAATCAATACTTTGCTGGGATCCTTCTTTGGTAAGGAAAGATGTACAAAGCCATAAACACCTAAACAAATCAAGAAATTTAAGTAAGGATGGATAATAGCTTATACTAAGGAATTACCACATCTAAAATAATTAATAATAATGATGATTATTCATCTATATAAGAAAATGTCTTTATCTTTGGAAGACACATGATGACATATTTTAGGAATAAAGTGTCATAATATGAACAGCTTTGTTTCAAATAGTTCAGCCAAAATTCTATATACATATTTATAAACACAGTGGCAAGGTATCAAATATGTTGAATTTAGAGAGTATTTCACTACTGTTCAATGTAGTACTCGAAATATTAACCAGAGTAATCAGGCAAGGGAAAGAAATAAAAGGGATATGTACAGGAAAGGAAAAAGTCAAATTACCACTATTTACAGACAATATGATCATCAACACAGAAAACCCAAAAAATTCCACCAAAAGGCTCCTCAAATAACCAAATTCAGTAGCAGGATACAGAATCAACACACAAAAATGTATAGCATTCCTGTACAGCTATACTGAACTCACAAGAAAGAAATTAGGAAAATAGTATCATTCACAATAGCTTCAAAAAATAAAAATACTTAGGAACTAACCTCACCAAGGAAGTGAAAGACCTCTATAACAAAAACGACAGTTCTTGAGAAAGGAAATCAAAGAAGACATCAGAAAACGAAAAGACATCCCCTGTTCCTAGATAGGGAGAACCAATAGTCAAAATGGCCATAGTAACTCCTGATATATAGATTTAATGCCATCCCAATCAAAACACCAACAGCATTCCTCATAAAACTAGAGAAACAAGCCTAAAATTCATATGGAACCAGAGGAGACCTAGACTAGCAAAAGCAGTTCTGGGCAACAACAAGAAAGCCATAAAGCATTACAATCTCAGATTTCAAGTGACACTTTAGCTACATTAATAGCAGAATTGTACTGGCCCCAAAACAGACATGTGAATCAATGGAACAGAATAGAGGATGCAGAAACAACCCCAGGCACAGCTATTTAATATATGACAAAGGAGCCAAAAACCTACACTACAGGAAAGATAGCATCTTTAACAAATGTTGCTAGGAAAATTAGCTATCTACATGCCAAAGACTGAACCTAGCACTGTATCTCCCACCATACCCTAAATTAAAATCACAAATGCATCAAAGATCTAAATATTAAAACAAATACTTAATCTGCTAGAAGATAAAACAGGTAAAACTCTTGAAGACACAGGCATAGGTAAGGACTTTCTAAACAGAATCACAATTGCACTTGAAACAAAATCAAGACATCAACAAACGGGATCACATCAAACAGTAAAGGAAAACACAGTGAAGAGACAACCTACAGAACGCAAAAAAATCTACAACCCATCCCTCAGATAGAGGACTAAATATCTAGACTATATTAAGAACTCTAAAGAATTAGATGCCCAAAATAAAAGTTCCAAGCAAAAAATTGGCAACTGAAGTGAATAGACACTTCTCAGAAGAACTGTCATGGCCAATAAACACATGAAAAATGTTCAACACCACTAATCATTGGAGAAATGTAAATTAACATTAAGAGTTCATCTTACTCCAGAAAGAATGGCTATCATCAAGAAATCAAACAACAACAAATGCTGGAGAGGGTTTTGGGGAAAAGGAACCCTGCCATATTGTGAAATCACTATGGCAATTCTGCAAAAAACTAAAATTAGATACTACATTTGACCCACGTTTTTCCCTTCTAAGTATCCTCCTGAAAGAATTAAAGATAACACACTATAATGGTACATGCATACCCATATTTATAGCAGCACAATTCATAATAGCTAAATCTTAGCAGCACCAAGGTCCATCACAGATAAATGGGTGAAGAAAATGTTGTATTTACACACAGTGGGGTATTACTCTGCCATAAAGGAGGATAAATCTGAGTCATCTGTACAAAAATTGATGGACCTGAGACCATAATATTAAGTGAAATCAGACACACTAGCTTAAATATCACATGATTTCTATTATATGAAAAAAAAACAAACTATAAATAAAGAGCAAAATAAAATATAATAGGAAACGGGGAGAGAGAGCTTTTGCAAAGGGATCAAGAGATGGAGGGAATGAGAAGAAGGGAACTGGAAGGGGAAAAAAGAATTGAGATGTGTTATGTGTATGTACAACTCCCCATGAGGAATGCATCCATTATGTACTTCAAACACGTACTAATAAAAAATTAAAAAATAATTTAGAGGGTGTTCACTATTCCCACCTTCTGTGTATGTACTTGAAATAGTTTCATAATAAAAAGTTAGGGGTGGAAAACCTCATAAGCTCCAATTTCAGAAGGAAAAAAATCAATCTCAAAGCAAAAAACTATATGTAGAAAATGTAGAGTGCAAAACATGACATTTTTTCTTTCTTTTCTCCTCTCTCCTCCACCCCAGGATCAAATCCAGGGCCTTCACACTATACTATATCCAACGCTTTTATATTTTTTATTATGTGACAGTGTATAATAAGTTGCCCAGGCTGGGCCACCTTGGGATCCTCCTGTCTCAGCCTTCCAAGTAGCTGTCATTACAGATATGTGTCACCAGCTGTGACTTCTTTTTAATACAGCACCTATTAAATATAGCTTTATCTCTCTGATACAATGAAATAGGGAAGAAAACTCCACCCAAAAACATTGCTTAAAATGATTCAGTCTACAAATGTGAAACAATTATTTAGGATAATCCTTTAACAGCTAGTTCTCTCACAACAGACACATGGACAGCACCATTACATAACAATTCTATGTTGTTTATATTCAACCTAATTCAATAAGACAACATATTTATCTTTAACCAATCAACCAATTTGTGAACCACACACCTGTTAACGCTATGAAGTGGCCTCTTCCCTAAAGACATTACAAGACATTCAATAAATTTTCTTCAACGTGGTAATATACAGTACTGTGAAATCACGTATCATCAGTTGAGGATCAATAGGTTTCTTAAACATGTGCAACTACATGAGGTTTCAATTACTCAAGGGAACTTATCACCATTTTTTTTTTTTTTTTTTTTTTTTGAGACAGGGTCTTGCTATGCAGTTTTGGCTGGCCTTGAGCTCACTTGCAGCCCAGGCTGGCCTTGAACTCACAACGGTCCTCCTGCCTCAGCCTCTCGAGTGCTGGGATTACAGGCGTGCACTACCATGCCCGGCTATCACCATTTTCTTAATAAAGAGCTCTATTTTTTCACTAATCATAAAGAAATGGGCTATCATGTCGACAGCCCAAGCTGTGTTTCCCAGACGCAGTGTATACTTTTGTCTTTGCTCTTTCCTTGTTTTTCTCTTTACTCGGTCCAAGCTCCCTCTGCAAAGCAAGCTTCCCCCCAACACACACTCTTCACTTTTGCTTTCTTGAATAAACTTTGCTAATGCTTTAAAAAAAATAGTGCAACCAATATTAAAATGAAAATTTTCAGTTAGCTTATATCACTCCACAAATGAAAACTATTACTCCATCAAAATAACTTTCTGCAGTATTCTACACATTAAATTTGACATTAAAGTCAGATTGCACAAGACAACACGAAATTACTGTGTTGCCATTGCCACATAATCCAGCAACAAATTTTGCAATAAGGAAATCTCAAATAACTCAACTTTGAGTTCCCTGTATGCATCAAGAACAAACTGCGAAAGTGAAATTGTGACTTCTCAAGAAATATGCTGTTTTACCAAGTACTTTTTTCCTACAAGAAAGGAAACTTTTTCTGTCCAGTTCTAACATAAAAACGGGTAAAGGTGCCTAGAATCACCTTTCACACATAATTATTTTAAAAATCAAGGACATTATTTGGCAAGGCTGAAGCAAAACGCAGCAGTCGACATCAGGCAAAAAGCACGTATGTCTTCTTTAGTGTTTGGAATTTATGCCCAGGAAGAAACTATATAGCCAATCTCATTTTCCTTGCACTTTTACTTTTACATGATGGAAAAAGTTCTAATAGAAGACATCTGCATATGTGAGTCAAAGTTTCCTTGATTGCCAGCTGCATGACCTTGGGCAAATGCCTTAATCTCTCTGAGCCTCAATTTTCCATCTGTAATATGGGGAAACACTGTATCCACCTCACTGGACTTGGAAAATGAAATAAAATACACGATAGCTCCCAGGCGCAGAGTATGACCAAGTGCTACATATTCCGTAAAGGAAGGAGAAACAACCCTAAGTAATAGATTAGCACACTGTGACTACAAAGACAAGCACTTTTTCGCGTACAGCCAAGTACCTGTACCATCCCGGAATCAGCTGCAACCTTCCGACTAAAGTCCCCGCAGAGTACGTGTCTGACAGCTACACGGCCCAGCAGCCTCCTGGACGCAGGGAGCCCAAGTCCGCTCTCACGAGCAGGGCAATCACCCAGCGAAATCCCCGCCCCGGGAGCGGCGCGCAGGCCGCCGCCAGCAGCAGGGTCCCCCCGCTCCGTGCTGGGCCACGGCCCCACAGTGTCACGCTCACACACGCGCGCACACACACACGCACGCACGCGCGCGGCACTCACCGACCACTCCGCGGGGCCG